AACATGTCTGTTTTCAGAAACACAACAAATATTGAAACCTAATTTTTATAAACACTGTTTATAACAACATGTAATAAACTGTCTGTTCTTATATAACACKTTTTTAATTTCAATCTGAGCTTTTTATCAGACATTTACAGCAATTTCTATGTTTACACTGACAGGAGTGGGAGATTCAGTGACTTGCCCAAGGGCACTTCAGCACGCAGTAGAGGCTGGGCTTCAAATCCTCAAAGAAARCCCCAACCACGGTTGTTTCTTGATTGTGGTCTTTAATTCAGTACAGCATGACCAGCAGCTGCCCTCTTAGCATTAGCTCTGGCTGTAGGAAAAACACAACGTTCATCACAAACAATAATCACTGTTTGTTTTTAGGAATTGAAACACAAAATAAAAACATCAGCAACAATTAACAAAGTTTTATTCTTTATGTGACAGCYGTCCTCATTTCTCCAAGATCTCCACTAGAGGGCAGCAGAGTTTACTGCAGATTTAATGATGGTTTTATCTTAGAAAATGCAGGCTCTAATGCTAACTTCACTGACTTGTCATATAGCTGAGTCCGAAACTGTTCACTTRAACTTTCAGTTAACCAGGGAAAAGATTCTGCACATCAGTTTTAGCATCTTTCAGCTCATCTGAAGCACAGTGAAAGAAGCTTCATGGTTTGGTCTAACTTTGAGAACTCGAGCAAATTGAAGTCATGGAGATCAATTAAATGTCTAATCAAGACATTTATAAACAGAACCCAGTGGTTTGCAAATCTCAAACACATATATTACTCATAGTGGAGCATAAACATTAAATTATAAATTTAAGAAATTTTATATTTTTAACACACACACACAAACTTGTACAGCTACCTTTATGGGGACCTGGCATTGACTTCCATTATTTTCTACAGCCTAACCCTGACCACCAACCCTAACCCTAAACTCACAGATACCCGACCCTAAAACTAACCTAAACTCAATTCACACCTTGGTCCTAAACCTGACCCCCCACCCCCATGGCATTRCCCCTTATGGACTCGACTCAGGTCCCCATAAGTAACATTAGGTCCCCACAAGTAGGTGTGTATGCAAAAAAAAAAAACTGTTCCACAACGCAGGGAATACCAGTCCCCACACACTGTGTATATTTAGAATAAAAACTTTAAAATGTTTTTAATTTTAAAAACAGTTTTCTGACTAACTGTGAACAGAACATGGGTTGATGAAATTTGCATCTCGTATGTTTTTATTAGAAATTTTCATGACCTCCTGACATTTTCGGATTGAATGATTGAAGTATCAGTTGGTAAAGTTGATACATGAGTTCACAAATCTTTTGGAGTCGTAGCATGAATTCTAGGTGTTCTTACCTCGAGCCCACTTTCTGTACTTGTACACACAAAATATGAAAATGATGTCGCAGAGGATGAAGAGCAGGATACCACATAACACTGCGGCCAAGGACACGTCAGGAGGAGGAGGAGGAGGGGGGTGAGCGGCAGAAAGATTAGCTGTGTGTAAAATGAAAGGAAAAGACAGTTTTTTTAACTTGCAACATAAAAATCTATTTATTTGTATGAATTTTTCTAAGTTTATAAAATACTTTACTGGGAGACAACACTAAGTAACTGTTTTCATAAAGCCTCAACAATGTTTGTAATTGTTCATTTCTCAAATTCTATTTTTTACTCAATAAAACAGTTTTATGTGCATTATAACCTATACTATGTGAGCCACATTAATACATAGTGAGTTTTGGTTTTGAATTTTAAACAAATCAGTTATTTGTTTTTGCTTACTCAGTTGTATCTATGTACTGAAAATCTGGATGTTATTGTGCGAGATTTGCATGGTTTGAATGAAGAAAATGATATTTCTAATGTTCAAGTTTTAATTGTTTTATTTATTTTTTGTTCCGCTCTCCGAGAAGTAAGCTGCTTTTCCTCTCTCTCCTGCCCTTCCTTATCTTCCCTGCTTTGCTGCTTGGAGCCATCGCTACATTTTCATCCGAAAACCGAAATTATGGATATTTTTATTTTATGGATTTGGTTAGCGGGTGTTAATAAAGTTTTGGAACAAGTTTTCTTCCATTGGACATGTCAAAGGTGGGACCTCTGTTGGACTGGGACAACTAGCTGGATATACGGTATATTTGGATTCTGATCACTGGATTCTACAGATTGGCTTGGTGGTCTCCTGGTGTTCTGCAACACAGCGTCGGTGACTATTCAGGCCATCTCCTGGCTGCCTGACCAATATGAAGGATTGTCGTGCTTTCAGCACTCAGACTTAAGCCTTGTGCYAGCTGGACTTGGTTTGTAAGTGGTTCTGCTGAGGGTCGTGGGCCGGCTGTGGTTCCTGGACTTTGCTGGCCAGATGGAATTGATCTTAGAGAAGCTGATAGCTCGGCTCGGTGGGATTGTCCACACTATTTGTCTGATTGGATTCACCACATTGGATGTACCAGTGGGCATGAAGGCAGATGGAAAATTATTATTGTCTGCCTGACCCAAAACATTTTCTTCTGTTCCCAAACAACTGATTACAGATTTGGCTCTCCCCTACGTGGCCTTGAAGGGCTGTGGATCTGAATTCTCCTGGATGTTTTCATTGACTGAGGCTCTGCCCCCACCTTTCCTCCTCTCACTCCCATCTGTAAGCTGGTTCCTAGAGCTGAGGGCCACACAGAATGAACAGTTAACATCAATATTCTGAACTATGG